AGGAGAAGGAAACCACGGGGCAAGTCTATTGCTTTGGTAAAAGTATTGTGGGATGCAGCTACTAGTGAAGCTACTTGGGAGGTGGAACAGCAATTCAGGGAATGTTACCCGTTTCTATTCCCATGTAAGTCTATTTTCGGGGACGAAAACTCTTGTTGTTGGGGAGGTTGTGAGACCCATATCTGATAACACTTTTCCCCCTCCAAACTCTCACTCAAAACCCTCCCTTTCACTCTCTTTTTCCCATCCATTCCCTTTTGGCTAATCTCATCCTTGTTGCTTGGATTCAAGGTGCTGAGTAAGTAATCAGGAGCTTGCGGACGCACGGAACTCTTCTTCCGTCTTCATTCACCATCTCTTCCAAGTTTCTCCTTCCTTGTGCCTCCCGGAGCTCAAAAAAATTTTTGAGACCAAGGTAAGGGAAGCTAGTAATTTTGCTTCTTTTTCGCTGTTCTTGACTGTGGACGAGTTCTATAAATTCGTTAGATGCTTGTTGGTGTCTGATTCATGGTTGGATTTGAAAGAAAGCTTGTCTTCTTTGGGGTTTCGGGGTTGTTGAGAAATTTTGGGGAAAATCATTGATTTGTTGTTGCATGTTGAAAAAGGGGGTATTTTTGGACTCTTGGATGAAATTGTAGTGATTCGAACCGATTGCATGTGAAGTTTCTGGTTGTTTTGCAGATTGTTTGAAGAGTTTTTCGAAAATGGTTGGTCGCTGCTGAGCTTCGCGCTGAGCGCGGTTCTTCGCGCCTGGGCGCGTGGCCACCAGGAGACCCCATTTGGCCAAGCTCGCTGAGCGCAATGATGAGTGCGCTGAACGTGCTTGAGAATGTGGGTCTCTGGCTGGCCCGCGCTGGGCGTGACTTGGACCGCGTTGGGCGCGATACCAGTTGTGGCAGGTTTTGGTTCTTCTTTTGGGCGCTGAGCGCGCCCCTTGTCGCGCTGGGCGTGAGACTCCTCAGGAGTCTCTGCCTTGTGGGCGCTGAGCGCAAATTTAATTTCCATCAAGCATCACGAAAAACTTCTCATTTCCAACATGCAACCATTAAATCAAGAAAACCCAAATTTTTGCATTAAAACTCAAAACTCCAAAAATCCATTTTTTTTAGCAATCGCCACCAAGAATAAAAAATCATCAGTTCAGAAATTGAGTTTCTATAACTCGTTTACAACCAAAATCCGCAAGAACTAGCTTCCCTTACCTCGGGCAAAAATCCGAGCTCCTGGGAACTAGAACGAAGAAGAAGAAGAAGAAGAGTGAAAAGAGCTTGAACGGAGAGGAAGAACAAGCTTGAGGAATCAGCACCCGGAGAAGGAAATCAACTTACTCACCACCCACACCTACAGCCACCAAGATCACCCCAAAGCCAAGAGAGAAAGAAGATGAGCAAGAGTGAGTGAGAGAGTCGGGAAAGGAAAAGGAATGAATAGGGGTCTCACAACGAACATTAACAATAACTTCACATTTTAAATTTCATGAATAAGTTTTAAATACAGTTGTTTCATCATATATCTTCCTAATTTTTAATGTGTTTGGAGTTCTTCCTCCTTGTATTCACAAAAAAAAACTTTTAATTAAGTTATAATTATCTTATTTATGATATAATTAAATTATAAAAATTAATAAATTTATTTATACTTATTTTATGAAAAAATTAATAATACAAAATAAAATTGGCCCAATGATTACAAAAAAGAATGTGTTTTTTGAAATAAAAAATACTACAGTGAAAACACTAAAAAAAATTGACAAAATTGGTACTGCTCAAAAAATGAGTAAAAATTAAATTTACAACTTTTTATCTTAAAAAACTTACAATTTCCTAACAATATGGCTCCATATTAAGATTAAGAGAAATAATAGTATTTTTTTTGTGTCGAGTGTTTTTAGTGACATATCCAGAAATTTTAAGTAGTAGAAGTAATATTTATATCCTGCCGGGTCGTTACACTATACAAAAATAATTTTAATATATATTATTTATTATTAGTCAAAATAATAGATAAAAAAACGATAATATTATCTATTATTTTATCCCAAGTCTATAAAATATTGGAATCGATCTTAATGTGTATTGACTTTCATTTTATGGTCAAAAATAAATTTTAAAATATTATATTTCTTTTATATATGACTATTAATAAGATAAAAAATAAAATACAGATGTCATGATTTCATTTTGCGATTTCAATTTTATTTAAAAAAAAACTCAAATATCATATTTATCGATCATGATTTCTATCATTTAAAATTGAAAAAACATTAAATTTCAAGTTGTGTTTAAAAACACGACTCGTCTTTTGACACCTAGCATCTTGATACAAAAATTTCAAATTTATCCATTTCAGGAATTTTCCAAAAAAACAATGTCTCATTTACACAAATAAGCCTACAAAAGCAAATGATATATATTTATTCTATTTGTATAAAATAAAGAATACTTTAATTAATTAAACTATGTAGTTAAAAATAACTTAATTATTTTAATTAAAAATAATATTTTTATCTTAATTATTTTAATTAATATTCTTCATTTATTAGTTATGTGAGAACTATACTAATTAGCATTAACGATAGTGATTAAAAGAACACTGATAAAATATTGAGATATAAATATGCTAAAATAAATTGCAAAAATTAAATTAAGACAGAATATTTATAGAGACTTGAAAATAAAAATTTGCAAGCAGAAACGGCTAGAAAATGAAAATTTTAAGACTGAAGCTAGCAAAACAGGGATTGTGCAAAGATTCTTAAAATTTCTCTCTGTCAAGATGTTGAAAATGATTTTGTAATGTAGTGAACATATTTTTTTTGTTATGATTATGAAACATAGTGTTGTGGTAGGTGTGAGGTAATTGGAGGGCTTTGTGGAGGCTTTAGGTGTCCAACAAGGTTTGTGTTTTTCTGTGGCGTCTTATGAGGAACTGCCTTCCAACCCGCCATAGGCTGCAATCAAAGAGAAACTAGCTCTAGTTTCTGTGATGGTAACATTGAAAACGCTTGGCATTGTTTTATGAGTTGCCTAGATGTTCATAGGTACTGGATGAAGTTTGGTTTGTGGAATGTTATCTTGATAGTATTGAAGGATAGTTGGTGCAATTACAGAGAAGGGAGAAAAAGTACGTTTAACGTCACTACGCTTTAAAATATAAGAACTATTGTATAAATGTGTTAAACAATTTAAAACGTAGGTAAAAAGAACTTCTACCTACTGAATACTGATAATGATATTTGGGCCAGGTCAAGCAACATTTAGAAAAATGCTTGTAAGAGATAGTATCGCCCTTAGATATTCAGAGACAAAAATGTGCTGAAAATGAATACAATTACGTTAATAAAAATAAATAAATAAATAAAATAAAAATTAAATAAACTAACAAATCTTCACAATGAAAAAATCTATGATCACTCCATCCATTGCAAAAAAAAAAAAAGAAAAAAAAAACCTTATCCATCTTTTACATGATATAACGTGAAATACAAAATCATTGAGAAAGAAAGAAGCCCTTAAAGTGTTAGGGTTTATAGAAATTGAGGGAGCAGGGAGCAAAAAGCTTGAGAGGCAAAAAGAAATGCACTTAGCGGTTAACAGCATAAAAGTTTGTCTTTCTTTTTTCATATATTATATTTTAGACCCATAAGAATTGACAAAGTTAGTTAATCTTTTTGTTTTAAAATCGAATTTAAATTTACTCATATTATATATTTTTTTACGTGGACATGGATAGAATAAATGATTTGTATTTTCATTAGAACTTCTCACAAGATATTAGTGGTTAACTCTAATCTTGTATAAGGTTGTGCTTTATTTTAATATAAATTTTTTATTTAAAAAAAATCATACCCTAGCCAAGCCACCGAACCAAAACCTACTTAAACCCATTAAACTCATACATGGGCCTGAAACAACAAAGTCTAATATGGGAAAGGCCCAAAAAAATTAGCCCATAAAGGAACTTGTCACCATAACGAGACTTGAAGCAACGAACTTGTCCTTATAATAAGATGCTCACCAACAGTTAGCCTTTCTTTCTCTCTCTTCATCACTCCCCTTTCTCAATCCACACCTTCCCTTGAACAACAACGAATAGTAAAATTAGGGTTTTCATTTGGGGAAACAACAATAGGGTAAATATTATGGAGAATGTGTAGAAAACATGGTTGTCGATGACATGACCAACTGCTTCATCGTCGACTATGTAGGTTCCTCTTCTCGTTTCTCTGATGCTTGTCCCAAGAGGTAATCCTTGAGGATCTCCCTCTTACTCGGTCTCTCTTTCAAACACTTTTTTTTTTTTTTCCTTTCTGGCTTATGGATTTGATGGCTTTGATTCAGTGTTTTTCCCCTGATTTTGGAGGGATTTTGGAGTTACGTCGAATAGGGTTAAATATAATTCCCCTCTAGCGTTTTTGAAATCTCTTCCTCTCTTATAGAGATTGAAGAGATATCACTCTGTTTCTCTGTGTTATATATATAGATTAATAGTAGTTACCTAGTTCTGTTCTTCTTGAGTTCAATTTATTTATTAATTTGTAAAGAAAAAAGTAGAAGAATTCTTAATAGGTTGGGTTTGTTGAATTTTTTTGTTCTTTTCTTGTTTACTTCTTTCTCTCAAACTCAATTGATAAATCTAGGGGTTTGATGGAGGGGAGATATTTGTGGGGATTGATATGATCAAAGTGTTTATAAGGTTGTTTTGTTGAATTCTTTTTGGGACAACAATATTGTACGAACCAGCAATAAAACTCATCAACGAGATGAGCTAGCATGGGCGATTCTTGTCTTGCTACTTTGTCAATGGAGAATCATCACCCCTCCACGCTCCTTTCAATGGACTCAAGTGCATCTTCTCACGAGGAACTCGATTTGGAGATGAATCGCCAAATCATACTCTCTCGTCCGCCGGATATCAATCTTCCCCTCTCTGCCGAGCGCAGCCCGCCTCCACAACCATGGGATTCCGAGCCTTGTGATATTCTGGATGTTGGTCTCGGTACTCAAGGGTATGAGACTGAGAGTTTTCTCAATCTGCCCAAATCTGGTAGGAAGTGCACAAAGCGCGTCGATAGCATATGGGGTGCGTGGTTTTTCTTCAGTTTTTACTTTAAGCCTGCTTTGAATGATAAGTCTAAGGCCAAGATTGTCAGGGACAGCAACGGTGTTTCAGGGTTCGATAAATCTGATTTGAAGCTTGATGTTTTCATGGTTCAACATGACATGGAAAATATGTATATGTGGGTTTTCAAGGAGAGGTCGGAGAATGCATTGGGTAAGATGCAGCTGAGGAGTTACATGAACGGGCATTCTCGCCAAGGGGAGCGCCCGTTTCCATTTAGTGTTGACAAGGGTTTTGCCCGATCCCACCGGATGCAGCGAAAGCATTATAGAGGACTATCAAACCCTCAGTGTGTGCATGGCATTGAGGTTGTTCCTGCACCCAATCTGATGACTCTGGATGAGGATGATCGAAAGAGGTGGATGGAACTTACTGGCCGAGATTTGAATTTCACAATCCCACCTGAAGCAAGTGATTTCAGTTCATGGAGAAATCTTCCCAACACGGACTTTGAGCTTGAGAGACCACCTCCCCCAATTAAGAGTGGTCCTAATGCACACCCGAAGAAGCTGCTTAATGGATCTGGACTGAATTTATCAACTCATCTATCTAATCACAGTAACGGTGATGGGTTGGACCTCTCTCCTGTCTGTGGCAAAAAGAGGAAGGACTTTTTCCCTCATGGAAATGAAGAAGAATGTTACTTGGCTGTTAATCCTCCATATGATCGTACTACAGATATAGAAATGCACCCAAGTGAGCCACACTGGTTGAATGACTTCAGCGGGGTGATAAAGAGTGTTTATGGACCTGTTACAGCTGCAAAAACTATTTACGAGGATGAACAAGGTTACTTGATTATTATCAGTCTTCCCTTTGTAGATCTTCCAAGTGTGAAAGTTTCATGGAGGAACACTCTGACTCGGGGTATCATAAAGGTTTCTTGTTTGAGCACATCTCGGAAACCTTTCATCAAGAGACATGATAGGACATTCAAGCTGACAGATCCAGCATCAGAGCACTGCCCTCCTGGAGAGTTTGTCCGAGAAATCCCTCTCTCAACTCGAATACCTGAAGATGCCAACATAGAAGCATACTATGATGAAACAGGATCAGTGCTTGAGATCCTGGTACCAAAACATCGGGTGGGACCAGAAGAACATGAAGTCCGTGTTTGCCTCCGCCCTCATCTAGGAGGGAATGATCTTAAGTTAACTTGAGATAGGCACTTGAAAAAATTGTTCGGGATTTCATTATGGTGCGGATGTTATTGTTTTTCTAACTCTACCATATAGTGTTATTTGCAATAGAATTGTGTCTTTCATTTGTCTCTAGCAATTTTTATCTTGCTGATTGCCCTGGTTCTTTTTGTTACGGTCCGTTGTATTGAATTGCTAGTTCTCGTAATTTATAAGAAATTATCAGATCATACAGTTGGAATAATTTGCTATTCGATTTTCGAACTTTACTTGGATTCTGATTTATTACCGTCTTTCTAAAGTATTTCATAATTTTCCTTCCTAAGATCAATGGGAGGGGTTCTTTCGGAAAGTCAGAAACTGTTGTCCGATAATATCTGCATCTTTTCTAACATAAAATTCAATTCAAAGTAACCTACCTTTTAGAATGTGTTGGGGAATTGGTAAAAAGAAGAAAGTCAACACCCATATCAGATTAATGATGTTGAAGAAATCACTAATATTGATAAATTAGTCCTAAAATATTGAAATTATATAAATAGTCCCTTAAATATTAGAAAACATCCTGTATATAATCTCTAAAATTGCTAAAAAAAAATCCTGGAAATTAGTCTATTAATGTTGATAGATAGATAATAAGAGGGAGATGGATTTTTAATACTTTAATCATTGTTTATATAATTTCTATACTTCAAATACTATTTTGGAGAGAGGATGATATTTTAGGCACCAAATTGATAGGTTTTTTTTTTTTTTCTGTTTGATTCAGAAATCATTCTTATTAAGATGTCAAGAAGGACTTGGCCCGTTTCAAGTGAGCCTAGCACTGGGGAAAACGACGCAAAGGTGAATGAGTTGGATGATATTTTGTGTGACATAGAAGCAGGAGCAAGCAATTGTTGACTTATAGTTTGGTGGTGAGTGTTTACAGTGCAAGGCTGAGATAGAGTGGGGTTGGGAAATGTTTCGTTCATGTTTGTTGGCCAATGTTAGCACCTAATTGAAGATTCGATCTAGCGTGAACCACTTGTATAGGTCCAGTTTTGTAAACCGTTGATTAATCTCTTGTATATAATAATTTGGTGCACTCACAATATCATTTTTTTTTTCTTGTATATTTTCCTTCCCTTCTCCATGTTTGACCGGTTACCAAAAAAGAATTCGTTACCACCTCTGAATGCTGCTGGAAATAGTGCGATGAGTTGGGAGAAAAGCGAAAGTGAAATAGGGATTGAAGGAGACATCATCCTTTTATGAACTTTTCTTTTTATTTGGTTATTCAAAACTTTTCTCGTTTACACGTTGAGAAGGCTATCATGATGAACAGTAGCATATACCTAATTTAAAAGATGTTTCTTATCGATGTGAAAATCTTGTCGGTGAAAAATTTATAAGTAATTTTACAGGTGATCGTTTAGATTTAGGGTTTACATGACCATGAAATTCTAATAAACTTTAAAAGTCCAACTCGTCTAAACTTTTTTTAATAACAAAAAAGGTAGTAGATACACAACTAGTAATTTAGTAAACCATTTTTTTAAAGGGTGGTTGTTGTTCAATAATAAATTACTTTATCACGATTCTCTAATAATAATAATAATAATTATTATTATTATTATTATTATTTATATATTAGTTGATTTACGATATGGATGAGTGAGGTGTGATACTATTGTTAATCTATCTATGTTATGTATATATACATGTCTTGTTTGTGTTTGGCTATTCGGTGTGTATTCCTACATTATGAGCCAGAGTGAGATGTTTCTCACTCCCTTTCGTTGTGTTGTTTTCCTTTTCATGTTATACAGGTTATCATTAGCATGAGGCTGAGGATGTTGGTGATGAAGCTTAAGCTTCAATGTTGGGCTTTGCTCTGATAGGACATGTGGTATCGAGGCATAGATAGGATTAGATTAAAATTTTATTTTTATTAAATTATTTTGAAAACCTTAGCTTTATTTCTTTTGTAATTTCAACTAATTATGTTATTTTTTTAAGTTATGGATGTGGTGTTCTTTATCTGAACACGTTTGGTATTATAATAATAAAAAATTATTTTATTCAAATTTTATTATTTATGTGTTATGGTATACGGGGTAAAGGTGATGGAATCATGCTTTGGAGTGCAAGAGGTGACATACTCAAAGAACCAAGAGGAGTTGGCTAGACATGAAGGTTTGGGCCAGTCAGGGCCCAATGGGCCTGATGGGCCTGGGAAGACCCAAGTTGAACTTTTCATGGGCCATATTTTTTTATAGCTATTTTCATATGTTTTTTATACATCATGTTAGTATAGGTATCATATATTTTGGTCTTGTATTTTGGACCACATAGAGTAGCATTTTAGGTTTTAGGCTAGTTGGGCCTAGTTTTGGGCTTCATGGGCCTTTGGGCTTTTGGTACCCAATATTGGGCTCATTTTCATTCTTGTAATTTTTCCTTATTGATAGGTTTTTTTTTTTTTTCTGTTTGATTCAGAAATCATTCTTATTAAGATGTCAAGAAGGACTTGGCCCGTTTCAAGTGAGCCTAGCACTGGGGAAAACGACGCAAAGGTGAATGAGTTGGATGATATTTTGTGTGACATAGAAGCAGGAGCAAGCAATTGTTGACTTATAGTTTGGTGGTGAGTGTTTACAGTGCAAGGCTGAGATAGAGTGGGGTTGGGAAATGTTTCGTTCATGTTTGTTGGCCAATGTTAGCACCTAATTGAAGATTCGATCTAGCGTGAACCACTTGTATAGGTCCAGTTTTGTAAACCGTTGATTAATCTCTTGTATATAATAATTTGGTGCACTCACAATATCATTTTTTTTTTCTTGTATATTTTCCTTCCCTTCTCCATGTTTGACCGGTTACCAAAAAAGAATTCGTTACCACCTCTGAATGCTGCTGGAAATAGTGCGATGAGTTGGGAGAAAAGCGAAAGTGAAATAGGGATTGAAGGAGACATCATCCTTTTATGAACTTTTCTTTTTATTTGGTTATTCAAAACTTTTCTCGTTTACACGTTGAGAAGGCTATCATGATGAACAGTAGCATATACCTAATTTAAAAGATGTTTCTTATCGATGTGAAAATCTTGTCGGTGAAAAATTTATAAGTAATTTTACAGGTGATCGTTTAGATTTAGGGTTTACATGACCATGAAATTCTAATAAACTTTAAAAGTCCAACTCGTCTAAACTTTTTTTAATAACAAAAAAGGTAGTAGATACACAACTAGTAATTTAGTAAACCATTTTTTTAAAGGGTGGTTGTTGTTCAATAATAAATTACTTTATCACGATTCTCTAATAATAATAATAATAATTATTATTATTATTATTATTATTATTATTTTATCTATATTTTAATTGGAACTATTATGATATTAAATTGAATTAATTTTTCAATATATTATATTTTCAAAATAAAATTACTTTACACTCTTAATAAAGCATTTTATTTATAAATTAAACTTCAATAAAAATAAGTATACTCACAAATAGTAACAAATGACGACAATCATGATTGTTTCGGTCAATGATAACAATTGTGTTAACATTGATTTGTAGTGGATAGGGGTGGGCAACAAAAAATAAACTGAACTGAACAAGTGGTAAACTGAATTGAATTGTACTATAAAAAAACTAAACTGTTTGTAAAAAAAACTGAATTGAATTGTTTTAAAAAAACTGAACTGTTGGAAAGTTGAAGTGTACTGAACTATAAAAACTGAGCTAAATTATAAAAATTAAACTATTTTTATAAAAGGATAAAAATTAAATGTGTCTAACATGTTTTGTCTTAATGGATTAACTCGATAGTTTAATGATCAAAACTTTGGAAAAAAAAGTGATTCGAAAAAAATTGTATCAATTTTGTCGAACCTAACGGATCAATTGAACTATGTTGGACAACTTATTATTAGGCTTTTAAAATTTACTGAGTTTGTTTGACTCAATTTTATATTTTTTTCCTTTGAAAATTTTAAATAAAATGGAAAATAAAGTAAAGTTGACAATTGTGTCCTATCTTGACAGACCAACGAGTCAAAATTGTTCAATTCAAAATATCATAATAGTTCAGTACAGTTTGAATTGTGTAACACCCTCGTTTTCATACCTTATAATAAGAGAATTGACTTCTATTATCAAGGAAAGGAGCTCTCAAAGCATGGGAACAACATGTTATGACATCAGAAGACCCAAAGCCTAATAAGGGTGTTCTAGTAGCCAAGAACAGGCTGTTCCCAAAACGAAACGGGTCGTTCCCAAAACTGGAACAGGGCGTTCCCAAACTAGAACGGGGCGTTCCAAACTACTAAAAAGGTTTAAAACCCTAGTTGAGAACGGGTCGTTCCAAACATGGCCGTTATGAATTAAACTTAACTCCAGAACGGGCCGTTTTGGTTTAAGAACGGACCGTTCTAGATGCGAATTTAACACATGATGAAAGAATCCAGAACAGGCCGTTCTGGATCCGAAACGGGCCGTTCTGGCCACTTTGGACATCTATAAATAGCAGACTCTAGCACTGCTCCTAGACACACTCTTTGAAGACCAAGGAGAATCAAGAGAAGGAGATCAACTAGATTTTGCTCTAGCTTCATCTTCTGCTTATCCAGGTAAGGGGGAGTGAGAAACCTTGCTCGGGGCTGTGAGAATAATTTTTGGGTAGCAAGATTGGCCCCCAATCCCTTGCCTTATGTATGCCTATAGGAACAGACACTTTATGAAAGTTTTGTATTTTGCTTTCTGATTGTTCTGTTGTGTTCCTTGTTGGATGTGATGTATGAATATGTGATTAATTTTGAAAATAAACAAGTTTTGATATGAATTAGAGTACTCTATGGATTCTTGTAGGAAACCCTATGAAGTGAAATTAGGGATATGATCTTTAGATGAATTTTGAGGCATTATATGTAAAATTGGTGATGGATTCATATTTTGGATAATTTCTGAGTAAGGTTATGTGTTATTTTGTATATGAATACGAGAAGTTCTTTGTATGAGACTATGTTAATATGACATGAAAATGTGAAAAGTAAACATATGATCTATGATATGATATTATGTGACATAAGATACGATGAGACGTGATAAGTGGAATGTTGAGTCAATGAAATAGTGAATGTGTGACATGCATCATGTGCATATATGATTCCAGGTGTACCTTGGATCACTAGTGATGAAATGATTTATTCCAGGTACGCCGCTTAGGCCGCATACTAGTGATGTAACAAGTTATTACAGGTGTACCTTGGATCACCAGTGATGAAATAATTTATTCTAGGTGTGCCGCTTAGGCCGCACACCAGTGATGTAACAAGCTATGTGATGAAATGACTTATTCCAGGTGTGCCGCTTAGGCCGCACACCAGTGATGTAACAAGCTATGTGATGAAATGACTTATTCCAGGTGTGCCGCTTAGGCCGCACACCAGTGATGTAACAAGCTATGTGATGAAATGACTTATTCCAGGTGTGCCGCTTAGGCCGCACACCAGTGATGTAACAAGCTATGTGATGAAATGACTTATTCCAGGTGTGCCGCTTAGGCCGCACACCAGTGATGTAACAAGCTATTCTAGGTGTACCTTAGGTCACCAGTAATGAAATGATCTATTCCAGGTGTGCCTCTTAGGCCGCATACTAGTGATGTAACAAGTTATTCCAGGTGTACTTTGGGTCACTAGTGATGAAATGATTTATTCCAGGTATGCCGCTTAGGCCACATACCAGTGATGTAACAAGTTATTCCAGGTGTACCTTGGGTCACCAGTGATGAAATGATTTATTCCAGGTGTGCCGCTTAGGTCGTATACCAGTAACGTAACAAGTTATTCTACGTGTACCTTTGGTCACCAGTGATGTATTCATGAATGAACGTGCCCCCAGGTATGCTACTGTAGCAGTATACAGTGATGAGAAATGTGAAACTTCCGTATGACGCCACATGCATGCATTTATGAGTCGAGTCCATAACATCATTGCATTATAAATGAGTGTGCATGTGATACTGATTGTGTATGCGTATTGTTTACATGTGATTTGTGCTTGTGACTTATGTTTGTTGTGTGTGTGTTATCTAACCTTATTTCTGCACCTGAATCTGAGTGAGATGTTTC